CGAGTTGATTTGACTGAATTAGGACAAGAGAAAAAAATGGAAAAACCTTACTTTGATTTTGGTGTGGTGGAGGTTTGCCAGTTAATTTACCAATTAACCAGCTCCAGGCGCAGGAAAGCAAAATCCAATATGGTATGTGATCTCCGATTAATACACGCACACTGTACACCAATGTTCACTGTTCTCCACCCCAATTCACGAAAAACGCGCGCGAGGTGGTCGCTCGAAGGACCAATGTTCGGGGTATCAGTCTGCGTGGGGTTTTAATGGAGAAATACACCTTTTTAAACTGTTAAATATTTTATTTTACTCCACAGTTGGGCACAAAGTTCACTTATATTTAGAAATGTTCAATTAAAGTCAAAGGAAAAAGTATAAAAATGTTATTGTTAAAACTATCTTAATATGTAATTAACTGTTATAAAAATGTTCCGAATTTATGTTATAATGTTAACGAGTACAACTAATTGTTACCGCGAAATGTATTGCACTGAAATGTTAAAGTGCACGGCGGACTATGGCCCAGTTACCGCGAGCCGCCCCGTGCGTCATCCTAATATGTCGCAATAACTTAGTGTTCGGTTTCGAACCGAACACAAGTTATACAAGCAAGTTTGTATTTACATTTTCCTCCAATATGGTAGCAGAGCCTTAGAATTTAAAGTATTTTATGTTCGGTTTGTTTCTTTATTCAATATAATCTGTCTTAAAAATGAGTAATCAATATATCATTGAAAAACTTTCCGGGGTGGACAACTACACAACATGGAAGTTCCAAATGAGAATGGTACTCATACAGGAAGATCTAATTGAATGCATAACTATCGGCAAAGATGGTAAGCCGGAGTGTGAAGACAAGAAGAAACAGGGCAAGGCGCTCGCACGAATTTGTCTGAGTGTACAACCTTCAGTTATTTCGGTTGTCAGACACAGTCAGACTGCATTTGAGGCCTGGTAAAATCTTCAAAAGTCCTTCGAAGACAAGGGATTGTGTAGAAGGCTAGGCCTACTTAGACTATTGTTTGGTTTAAGTTTACACCAATTTGATAACATGGAGGCGTATCTCACAAAAAATTTAGATAAAGCACATCAGTTGCAAGATATAAATGCTCCTCTAGAAGACGAATTTGTGGCAATTATCATTTGCCAACGTCCGAAATGATAGCGGACATCTTAACAAAACCCTGGTGCAGACCAGAAAAACACAACTATTTTGTAAAGGGTTTAGGCTTACAACGTAATTTGTCAAATAGGTAGATATATCTTTACGTTAGTTAAGTTTAAGGGGCGGTGTTAGAGGTGTAAACTCAACTTAACGTTGTCTCTGACACACGTTTCCTTAGTAACGTGAAAAACGAGAAGTCTTGGAATACAAGTTATACAAGCAAGTTTGTATTTTCATTTTCCTCCAATAGCGCTTTGGCAGATATCAAGCAGTGAACCGACGAATCCAGTGGGGCTCTAACCACAACCTGGTAGCCCTGTGGATGTCTGAGTCTGAGCTGATGATCCAGCAAAGAAGGCGCTTGACTTAGAATATTTGGGATCTTGGTGGGCTGAGCTGATCATCCATTTGCTTCAAGTCATGAGAGCGAATGCGTGAGCAGAGATCCCTGTAAGTTTTGGAGGAAATTAGCCACAAACTACAGTGAGCGTTAAAGTCCCCCGAAAACATCAATTCTGTATTGGGAATTTGCTCCTGCGCGTCATATGCTACCCGACTAAGATGTTCAAAAAGTCGAGTTGTCAACGTCGCCGGTATGGGATCGGTAGAGGTATACGTAGACTTTAGCCAGGGGACCGACGACGAGTCGAACACCTCCGTCTTCCTTGCCAAAATTAAGGTCAAAGACAGTTCACTATGTGAATGCGGGCTGGATGAAGGAACAACAGAACATATTTTCTTTAGTTGCCCAAAATACGCGGTTTCACTCTATGACATCCTTCCACCATACATCCCCAAAACTATGAATTTTAAAACACTCCTAACCTATGTTAACTCTCGCTTTATTATACTACTTTGTGAATATATATCCAAAAATAATATACGCTTGTAATTATTTGTCTCTAGACTAACCAACTAACATTACTGACTTTTTATTGTGTTTGTCTCTACCTTTCAGATAAGACAACAGATATTCAATTACAAAAATTCAAGTACATTGTTTACTTCTACATACTGTGCTTTCACAACATACTTAAAAAAAAGCAAAGTCAATTCCTACTGAACAACCAAGCTGAATCACTCGAGTCTGGCGAAATCCACAAATGTGCACCGCCATTTTCCAAGAAAAAGAAGAAGAAGAAGACGACGAGTCGACGTGTACCTACCTCCAATATGGAGAATGAGCGATTTCCAGGCGACGGAGACGGCGACAACAAACATCCGCCCGGAAATACAGGGAATCACCGCTGTTCTCGCTTTGAAACCCTCTTAAGCTCGTAGCCGTGATAATTTATGCCATATTGGCATTAAGTCCGCCATTTGCATATAAGGCAATAAAGATTAAATAAATAAATAAATAAAAAAAAATGTAGCCGTTTAAACGGGCGGAAGTATCTGTGTCTCCGTCAGAAACAACAATGTCAGCCATGCCACGGTAATATTATCTATACAGTATTGTGACTCCGCCCTGTCCTTGAAATAAATGCCTACGGCCGAGCGCTGTGTTAGCACGCGGTAGGGCCGCCCGCCTACAGTATTTTAATTTCATCTACATAATTGAGTTTCTTTCTAGTTTTGTGAATGTAAATATTTTATATATAAAGATTCGATCGTAGGAATGCATTAAAAATAACTATTCCGCCATGTTGGATTTAGAATGACGTCACACAGCTAACCGTGCTTTTTAATCAAAACGTGTGTATACAAAATTTCAGCTCCACCGGTTGAAGATATCTGCTTTAAAATTGAGTTTCAAGATTCCACCCGAACAAACAAAGTTATTAGTTAAGGCCTGTGCCCCAGCAGTGGGGACATTAATAGGCTGATGATGATGATGATGATGAAACAAAGTTATATACCTACCTATATTGCAAGTTAATTAAAAGCTTGTAAAAACCCGACTGCTGATTTTTATTCTTACATATATCAATAAAAGAATTTTATTTTAAACATACAAGTTACATTTATTTGTAAGTCACGGCGCAGTCGGGTAAGGAAATTACCTACAATGTAGGTAAATTTTACTAGGTAGGTACTGTAGGGATCGTTTCATGCAAACTAATTATTGTCATTGGAATTCCTGGCAACAATCCGTCTCTTTTCCAAATTACCTTATAACCTGCCAGTATACACCAAATAGATCCGATCACTACAATACCTACCATTTATTACTCTCGTAAATTATTTCATAATGATATTTAATTTAATTCAATAATATAATGTATGTAGTTTAGTTATTCAATAATGTATGTAGTTAAGTAAGTAGATAGCCTAGTCTAGGAAACTACCTACCTATTATGTAGTTTTGTTTTTAACGCGAGTGTAGGTAGATTACTTTTTTTTCACCCTAACCACTTATTTATATATTATTCCAGATATTTTGCCCGATGGAAAAATCAAAATACCTAAATATTAGAAACAAATTACGTACTAGTATATAGGTATATAAAAATATTCTATAGTATTACTTTTCCAATATTTCAGGTAATTTAAAAAATGATATCTCTGGGTGTGTTATTGAAGAGTTCAAGCAACCAAAAACAGCACAATATCGTCGTTTGTTCTTTGCCATACTAAATTATGTAGGTATCTACTTAATTCAATAAAATATTTACAATACCAAACGCATGCAATGCATAAAAAAATGGGTGCGTGTACTTATGTAGGCGCGTGAGAAGTTATCCTTCTTTGGCATCGTTTAAAATTAGTTTTTAATTGCATGCAAATAATTAATTACAATAAATTAATAAAAAGTCTGGAAAAAGACACAGTCAATAAAGTTCAGTTTTAATTTGAAAAAATAAATAAATAATAAAAATATTCAATTAAAATCGCTACTGAATATAATTTATTAGAACATATGTGATTTGCACTTGTATGAAACTCAAACACGTATTCCGAATATACAAACTAGAAACATGAGGATAAATATTATAAATATGAATACCTATAACTGTTACTTTATTACAAAAAATAAAGATGTGGTTTTTGGTTCTACTACACCAATGGTCAAGAGATGGCGCTGTAGTCTCCTGAATCGCGCTTTGGTTCCGTTGTTCCAGATTAATAAATACTTTTGATAGGCCTTTACAATGCAGTCGTTAACACCCACTAAATAGAGATTCTATTTCTATTTTGTTGGTAGATTTTCTTAATGTGCGGTAAACACAAAAGTAACGCATACTTCATGCTGTTAAAATTTTGTGTTACAGTGATGCGCGCGCATCTTAAAATTTCACTCTCATCATTTTTTCATAACGCGGATAAAGAAGTATAATTTTAAAAAACAATTCACACCGTTCGGTCGTCGTTGCGGCGCGGCGGCGCATTCGCGACTGGGTGCCCGCCGAGAGTCCCTCGAACTCGAGTGGCGTAGGTATGGCTCGCTTTCCGACCGTTTGTATGAAGATAGAATACTGTATAGATATTATTACCGTGGCCATGCTGTCTCATGATGGTGGTGGACAGCGTTGAGGTTTGAGTGCAGTCCGCGTATATTGCAGGACTCGACCTCAAACGGCGTGGATGACGTTTTATTTTATTTTACTCTCGGGTAGCAGCGAAGTCAAATGCAGGTAGTAAGTAGTTTGAAAAAAAAAAATCATCACTGTACAGCATAAACACAAAATTTTAAATTAGATTATAATAAAAATTAAATACATTTTCGTCGTGTCGTCTAAAATCCATTTATGTTTCCATTATTCTATTGTGTGTAGAAATTGATGTGACATTAATAAAATAATAGAAAAAACGAGTCTTATGTTTTTCCAACTCATTTTGATTTACAGGGATTTTCTCTTCGCTGTACAATGATGATATTTCTATTTGTATTTACCAATGTGAAAAAGGAGATACTTGGTACTTCTTCGGTTTTTGCCTCTGTTTCTTCATTTCTGGAACAAATATAATTGTCACATGATATTACATAAAAAAATTATTGGTACTTCAATTGTTGAAATTACAGCATCTATCATACTGACTAAAATTATTATCAATCAATTCCAATCAAGATGTTGTTATGAGAGAACACCGTGAATTCATTCTGATAGAAGCAATACTAGTGTTGTTTATGTAATTGAAATAGCAAAGATAATAAAGGAAATATTTAATTGTATTTTGGAATAGTTCATAGGAAGTCACTTAATTTATGACTCTAAAGACTTTTTTTTCTTGAATTAAATCCACATGGTTTTGATTCGATTCATGGCTGATATTTAAACTGTGTGGATTTTTTATACTACAGTTTTAAATTCTATGAAATTCTTTAAATCATTATTAAAGTGAAACTTTTATTACATCACCTCAATTTTTTTCTTTCATCTTTAGCATGTGGCATTACATTTTATTTAAAAAATTATAAAAAGCTCGCCTAGTAAGTAATTGAGGAGTGTAAATGCTATCAACACCCAAAATTACTGACTTTACTGACCAAAAGTTATTGACATTTATAGACGAAAATACTGACTTTAACTGATCAAATTCCATCCTTCACTAAACTGTTCTAACCTTCAATGTAAAAAAAGAATCATCTAGTACAATAAATTTTCTACAATATGAGACAGGACTTTTCTCTGCAGACCCTATAGTTTCCGAAATAAAGCCTTTCAAAATTTTGGTTGAGTAAAAATAAATACTTCCTCAAATCCGGTAGTTCTGAATTTCTGCAGATTTGTTTACGATATTGGTTCACTGAATAAACCAAATTTGTTACCTCAACCACCAAACGTAACTTCATCAAAAATCTAATCAAATCCGCAAAAATTTGGACAATTCATTATAGTTATGATTTTATTATTTTCTAGTAAACTTTTCTTTAGATTTAAACAATTAATTATGTCAAAATTCCATTACATGATAAGATAAAGTTTGCTCTGTAAACTTTATTATGTTTGTTATATTTATTTATTAATGAAATTTCTATATCGCTTTATAACAAAAATGTACTTCTGTGTTTTGTGTTATATTTAGGAAGGAAATCAGATCTTGGTTGGGTAACTATTTATGTGATTGAAGGTTAAGTAAACAAAATATAATATACATAAAGTCATTAATTCAAGATTGTAACTACTGAAGTCAGTACATACCCATCACTTTTATTACTAATATATTCCCAGAAATTTCTTTTCTCTGTTTTCTTTGACTCAATTGTTGGAAATTTGTATTTTGCTTTATTTATAAAATCTTTCTTACTGCCATTAGTATCTACATTTACTTTACTATAGCAAACTGATGGAGAACTTGGCATATTGGATAGTGTTAATTGAATTTTTCAAACAATAAAAAGTTTTTTAATTTTCATAATTCCGCGAAAAAGTTTGTAACAAAGTCAAATATTTTTTTTAACGTTTTCTTTTCTTAGGGCATGCAAAGGTAACAATGCCCATACAGCCTCGTCTTCAGTTTTATTAATGTTCTTTTTTTATATTAGAATGTGGGTGTGACACGTTATAAAGTTTTTTGGAGTGATTTGCATGAAACGTATTGAGACAGCTTTATCGAAAAGCATCTGTGGGGTAGTTTGAAACAGCCAAACCGTCGACTGATGCTTTGTTTCTGGATCGTATTGACAAATCCAGGATTACGCCGTGACGAGCCTGCATCAAATTTTTGTATCATATCACTGCACCAATCCACACGAGCTTGTTTCTGAGCTTCGGTGAGGTTGTGCAGCACCCAGCGGGAAACTATCCTTCTTACGCAAGAAGTGCTCGTGCAAAATCTTGTGAACACTTCCGGAACCAATCTGCAGAGTATGCTGAATCTCTTCGTACGTAATTCGTCTGTTCTCTTGAATATTTTTTTTACTGCCAGCACACTTTCTTCGGTGACAGCCGTCGTATAATGCGATTCAAATAAGAATAGGAAAGCCAATGACCTCTATCTGTCAAATGTCGCTTGAAAAGTATGGTTTACAAAAAAAAAACTTGAAACCCTTTTTTAGCACTCCGCTAATTAAAGAAAAAACCAAACATTTGTGAACAAACAAAAACAAATATTGATAATAATTATCGGTTGATTTGGTCTTTGGCCATTAATGGTTGATAACCTAAATCATCAACCAAATGTCACTTTAAGTTGCGTTCAAAAACTCGATTTTAAACTTTCGTTTACATAAAGGATGCATGTTCGTATGTGACCTAGTAATAGTGCATGATTATTCATAACTACTCCGGCGGTAATGCAGAGATGAGCGGAATAGAAGAGCTAGATTCTGATTAATGTTTTTTCTCACAGTCTTATTAAATAAATATTATTAAAAATCGGTGTTTTTTTTCTCAATCTTAGTAAATAAATGTTATTAAAAAAATCTGATGCTTTTTCTCACTTAAACTTAGTAAATAAGTTTTATTAAATAAAAACGTTTTTTTGCTCACTCTACCTATTTGATTTGAATTGACAGCTATGACATCACAATATGGCGCCCAGTCGGTCCTATTCTTAGTTGAATCGCATTATAGGATGACCACTCCTTTGCTCATCCCCCAAAGTAAGACGACCTCGTTTGAACTCTCTACACCAGCGGTAGATGGTTGCTTTTGAAGGTCCTTTACCTATAAAAACCACATTAAAATTGTAAAAATTAATACCACGAAAATGTTCTCGATGCAGATCCATTTTACTATTACATAAAAAATATTCATAATTTTACTCAAAACCCACAAAAAAGATAATAGTTTTCTTGTCTATTGTCACGTGACCCAAAACGTTTGGGATTGGCGGAGCCTAAAATGACGTCACACGCAAGTAAACTTCCGGTTAAAGTGACATTACATTGTATCGTTTGACGTTTTCATAACAGTCGTGAGACGTCACACACTAGTTTGACGCCATATTGTCCAGAGAAATGTTTTCGCCGCAACTTGAAAATGGAGTTTTTGATTTGGTTATTTTTACTGAAATATACAACAGAATGATGAATATCCACTTTTTACGGACTCCATAAACATTAGTCAATAACGTGATATCGTTTTCTAAAACTTGTCAAATACCCTATTGGCTCTCGAAAAACTGCGGAGGGAAATTTAAAAATCAAACAGTGGTTTAGCTCCTTTTAAATAATCGAAGTTTTCGAAATAATTACAAGTGGTCAGTGTCTTAAACATAAAAATATTTATAATTTTTATTATTTTAAAGCATGTAACTGCTTGATGTTTAAATCTAAAGAAAATATAACTAGAAAAAAATTCCACGCGGACCAGGCCGCAGACGGGACTCGAACCCGCACCCTTCGCAATCCGGGCGAATGCACTGACCAATTATGCTACCGCGGCCATCACGGACCACGTCGAAATTCTTCTAGTCATTCTTAAGCTGCATGGCAGCGCCATCTCTTCGCATTATAGGTAACCTACAATGTCAAATGAATACTTTTACAAGTATTAAACATTTGAAAGAAGAAATAGCAATTATAGTTATAATTTTTATTATTTTAAAGCATGTAACTGCTTGATGTTTAAATCTAAAGAAAATATAACTAGAAAAAAATTCCACGCGGACCAGGCAGCAGACGGGACTCGAACCCGCACCCTTCGCAATCCGGGCGAATGCACTGACCAATTATGCTACCGCGGCCATCACGGACCACGTCGCATTCGTGATGGCCACGGACCACGGACCACGGACCGCGGTAGCATAATTGGTCAGTGCATTCGCCCGGATTGCGAAGGGTGCGGGTTCGAGTCCCGTCTGCTGCCTGGTCCGCGTGGAATTTTTTTCTAGTTATATTTTCTTTAGATTTAAACATCAAGCAGTTACATGCTTTAAAATAATAAAAATTATAACTATAATTGCTATTTCTTCTTTCAAATGTTTAATACTTGTAAAAGTATTCATTGGACATTGTAGGTTACCTATAATGCGAAGAGATGGCGCTGCCATGCAGCTTAAGAATGACTAGAAGAATTTCGACGTGGTCCGTGATGGCCGCGGTAGCATAATTGGTCAGTGCATTCGCCCGGATTGCGAAGGGTGCGGGTTCGAGTCCCGTCTGCTGCCTGGTCCGCGTGGAATTTTTTTCTAATAAAAATATTTTTTTCGTTTTCTGAGTGGTAGTCATGAAGGGCACGTGTTCACATTTTTGTAGGTTTCACTTCTATCACATGGGAACATCACATGACCGTTTTTGTTTGCTTCGCCATCCGTTTTTTTATAATTCAAGACTGATTGAATTGACTGATGACTGCATGAGCGTCAAATAGGACGCCTTACCGCTTTCAGGGCAAAAATATACCGTACAACTACGGCAGTACCTGTGGCTGACAACATTGCTTCATTCTCCTCAGGGATACGTTCCGTATCTACGCTCGACAATCCAGCCAACGATCCAAACAAAGAAGGAATCTTTATCTAAGGCTGTCATGGACGTAGGTATGTATAAAATAAACCGAAATGAGTATTTTTACTGATAAAACGGGAGGAGTCAGAGAAAACCGAGACCTTTTATCCCTTTCTAAGATTTTTTTGGGAACATAAATAATCTAACTTACTTTGAACTTATTGTCACTTGATTTAATAATAACAAACTTCGATTAAACCTTCCTCAATCTAAATATTGTTATCATTTTATATGTTATCTAGGTTATTTAGATACTAAATTTGGTCCCAAAAAAACAAAAAAGCAGTAATCAATTAATCTGACGCCGGTCAGTCCGGCGGTCAGTCTGTTCCTATCATGCTATAGCCAAGCGTATGTCGACCGTCTTTCAAAAGGACGCTGTCAAAAAAAGCCTGTGCGTCACCAGCCTTTAAAAGGTCGTCTTATTACCGCGCCACTTTAGAGATTAATTTAGCTTGGTTAAACTATTCTCATCTCTCTCAAACTTTACTACAGTGTAAGGAGTAAAATAATGATGGCATACTTAACTATAACTCCCGCCAAGTGATATATGACCTCCAATCAACACTGAGCGCGCCTTTTGTTTGCCTTCATTCAGTCTTGGCACGTCAAATGTTCATGGAATATTACGATTAAAAAATGTATGAGGTAGGCACATTTTATAGAAAGATTCTCAGTGATTGATCTAGTCTTGAGCATAGTTAGAAAGGGATGACGCTTTATATAGCACATAGCATTAATACGGGCCGTAGTCTGTGCGGAAATTGAATGGGCGTGGCGAAAAACGGAACTAACCCAGCCATCTGATAAACGTGAAAGGCTTGTATTGATACGGATTTGTTTGTTGTTGGGATTTCTTGCGGTTTGTTGTATTAAATCATGTCTAAAAGGGGTAAAATCTTACAAATACGGTAGAAAAGCACTACTGCGCCCTTCAATCTAAATCCCATCCCTTTCCGCACAGACTCCAGTGTATATTTTTCATTGCTTTTTGTTTCATATTTTTTCCTGTGTTATACAACCCAAATATAACTTCTATCAAAGCCTTTTAGTTATGGTTATAAGAATTTTAATGCAGAAAACTCGAGAAAAGTCACTAGTCCCAATTTCACCTTCGAATTAGTAATTAAATTTACAATAAAAGTATCTAATCGATTATACATAATCTGATAGCTTATATAATAAGTAATCCGGTAATATAAGGTTTTAAAATAGTCTTCCTAGAGAAATTTAAAAATATCATCATTTTGATGAGTGGCCGGAAGTACTACTAAAGTAGTTTGACCGTCAGCGCCATAATGCGCAAAATGGCGGCGACAATATACGGTCTATAAAAGGAATGAAAAGGACTGACTGATGTCAAGAGGACCGCACTCACGATGTTAGCGCACGGACCTGCCCTCCCACGTAAGTGCTCCGCCGTAAAGTTGAGCTTTACTTCTCCGCGAGAAGTGCCTGGCACCATCGTGCCAGCGGGGACCACCGCGCCTCTCAGCCACAGGCCTTGAGCGCGCCGCATGGCGCAGCATGGCCAAGATCACGCCGACATGAGCCCCAACTTGCATCATGGACGACTCCGATCAGATGACCGACGAAGACATCGCATTCAACAACACGCGCTATGGAACCGTGGTGTTCGGGCTAAAGTCGCCCCGCGTCCAATATGACTTGGACGCAGCGATGGCAGCGCGACTCCTGGACTCTGGGCTTTTGTCTGAACGGTTTGAAGATCTGGTGCTACGTCCGTCTCCTCGAATACGACGAGAGCATCACCGACAATTACCGCCTCGGTAACAGGCCTGTCGCGAGTAATAGAGCTTGTAACGTACCTCAGGAATCGTCCCATGGCATGGTTTCGACTGTCATAGTTCCATTTCACACATTTTATCATATACCATCATCGATATTCA